CAGCCCTCCTTCTTGGTCGCCCGTATGCCCCTCTCAAGTACCCATTAACCCGATAGTATAGATCCCCAGCTAACAAGTACACTAACGTGGCCGAAATGCTGCCACTGTTGCCACCAACACTTGAGACCGCCTGAACCTCCACGGCTGTGGCCGTCGCGAGAGGACATCAACTCCAAACTGACGGCTGATAGTGATGGTGCCGGTAGCGGTGGTGGCGACCAATAAACATGGTCGGAGCGTGCTTATTCTCGATGAAGCACAATGGATACACTATGCCAAAGGGCCGACCGGAAGCCCGACCGAGCCCCAGTGACGTGAGAGTGGCAGCTGCGGCAGAGCAGCTGCTATATTTAGTGCAGCACGAGGGCAGAAAGAGTGGACGGACGGACAAAAGCAGAAGGGGATAAAAGTTGACGGCAAGGGGCCTAAAAAACAGATAGAAAAAGATAACAATGTGGGTGTCTGAAATTACGCTGTTGTGAGTAAACGCGTGTTGGATGAGTGTGAGCCTTCTGGCGCGTCACCTCGTATCCAGACGGACATCGGAAAACGGCCTGTACATCGCATTTGGAACGGGCGTACTGTATCAGGTACTATACAGAAAAAGCTTCGTAAGGCCACTGACTAACAGGTGATGTTCGACTGGCTCATACTTTTTGCTAATTTAAAACTTATCGGCTAAAAACAACGTATAAGTAAGTGAATTAGGGGGAAGAAAAAAGGAAAGCGAACCTATGAAGGGCACCCAAATCTACATTAATACTTTACCAACACTTGACTTTGTATTTTTACGTAAAGTTAAAAAATCAGTAGACGTCGGCTATATTTTTAGTTCGTATAAATGATTTCATTATGTAAATTTAATGTAATTAATGTTAACTTGTAAACAGTTAATGGCGCACGACCAAACGTTAATCGATAGGCTCATAAATTATATATTTCTAAGCACTTGGTGATGTTTTTTACGGTAGTAAAACAAAGATTTGAGCCGTAAAGTGCATCTTATAAATAATCAAATTACTTCAATTGACACAATGTCAGAATATTTTCAATGGAAAAGATCACAATCGACGTAGAGAAAACATTACGTTTGTGCGGTAGTCCACCAATGGTTTACATTTGGATCCATTGTACAACAATATCTTGAATAGAATACGGTGAAATGTAGGGCAAAGGATCCGCGGTGTGAACACTGCGTTGTCATGCTATGAAACAACATGTTTTTAATACCGATTTCCAACCGTTCAAACGATTCTCGAAGAGATTTACATATTAGAAAAAAAATAGCAAGCTTATAAAGCTTGTCTAAGTTCGAAATTTAGATTTAAAATAGACACTATTCTGGCAGATCTTTTGAAAATTTGGTTAGATTGTTACAAATATTTTTCTTGTCTATATTGTCTATGTGTAAAAAAAAAATATTGAAAATAGCCTCAACTTTTCAGCCAGCGAACCTGCCTAGTCTGTTAGAGTAATGGTGCCTAGAGGAAACATATACTTTGCTCTATTAGAAAAATAAAGTAACATCTAGCAGCTGTCGGCATTAATAAAACCGCACGTAAAATTGTGACAACTACTCAGTCGCGGTAACTCACTCGATTTTGAACACCATGAATACGATCCTTAAATGAACCTGTTGTTATTTATTTCCGAAGATATTTTGAAGATTATCCGCCGTATGAGCTACACCGTTCATCACAACTGTGAAGCACTGAATAATAGAATAATCATAAGGTAAGTATGCTACGTTCTTGGCTACGTTGTAAACGTGGCAGAAGTTACTCTTGATTGTCGATGGGTATCATTGTCAATCAAGAGAACATTGCTGAGTGTAGTTTAAAGCGAAGAGTTTCTTTTGTAATTACTCAATATAAATAGCTTAAGTTACTAAACAGTAATAACCGTTTTCGAATGGCCATATTTGAAAAAATATCCTTTGTCAAAAATTGATATCGAGGAGTGCCGCAACAGTATCAATGACGTCGAAGGAATCTCGGGAACATTGTCTTCTTTTATGACCGCCTCAAATGCTCTGCAGACGATCGGCAAAATCACCAAATAGAACCAGCGACATTAGGCTTTCAAAATCGCCAATCCTACTTCGTAGCTCGGCTTTAAAATAAACTATTTTCTACGAGAGCACACGAGGAACAGGTGTCTATAAGATTCGTCTGCCAAGTCATATTCCACATATTGACATTTTGTCGCAGTCATCGCGAGTGAACTGTCTTTTTGCTATATATGAGTCGATGCGATAGACTGGGATCGTCTCTATTGATGTGTGCCCTGATTAATTGTTTTACGATCTTGCTTATTACTGATGCTGCTAAAGTGTGGCTTTCTTCGAAATCTACCTGTTATAATTTATTATATTGAACAATCTTCTAACAATTTTTGCAATATATCTTCCTCTCATTGATCAAGGGTTCAGACTAAAGCACATTGTGTCATGTCATATGTTATCATTCTGCGTACAGACACTATATCGGCAAATAAGTTTCAGCCACACAACCTGCACAACAAGAGCTTCAATATATCCGTGTGTTTTTCAACACTATGGCAATTAACGAACCAAAGACCAAAATAAGCTATTTATTGACGATATGATCTATTGATGTCAACAAATAGATGCGGTTAAATTTTTTTAGATTTTTCTAACATCATTAGCATTCATAGGCGATAAGCTTGAATTTTCAAGGAGACATGCAGTTATTTTAGGTATTAATATCAATAAAATTTAAATAATTATAAAATGTAAAAAAATAAATAAAAATAATAAATATGTCCTATGTTGAGAGACTATGTTTAGTAATAGGTGCGGACAAATTGGTCACGTTTAAAGTCGCACAGTTGTTGACAGTTCCGTACTCCAGCATTTTGTTTTGCCTTCATAACGAGTAAATGTGCATTGATCTATAATATGACTGCATAACGTTTGGTGTCGATACAGGATAGAAATACGCATGTACTTCTGTGCTGTTTAAAGTAGTTGCTATTTAGATATACGATACAGAGGCAAACAAAGAACCTTGAACTCGTCCGTATGTCTATGAAAAGAGTTGGGACTTGCGGGTTTAGCTTCGATTAACAATTGCTCGCAACGCGTGGCCGTAGCTCTTAGGGCCCCGATAATTGTTACCATTGCTAATAAGTGGACACTCCCGTTATTTCGCGTATCTTTGCTTCATAACAGTGGCATCTGCCACAGCTGCTTTGTGTTCTTTCTGGCACATTAAGACAAATCTGGCTATCCTCCCTTTTTTTATACACGATTTTACCTATTTATTTGCTACCTCGATATCTTCTGATTGTTCTGCGCACTCCGTCACCTGCCGGCTGGTTATATTAACATGAAAGTTGCCCATAGTCGTCTGTCGTTGCGCGAGCTTTCGCGCGTTTTCCTTAATTGAAATCTATAAGGAAGCGAGGACAAATCGAAACCACTGGCGAAAACATGAACAGACGGTATCGGTGACCGCGGGTGCAGCTGATGCTCGCACGACTATTATCGCCGCTGCCATTGCGATATTATTCTGTAGGAGCCGTTGTCGTTGTCGTCGCCCTACCAGCAGCGGCGGTGAGGAGGCCAAACTCCCTCGACCCATGCTGTTGATGACAGCGCCGTCTGGCGAGCGGAACAGAGCAGCAGTAACCACGACGTGCAGAAGGTATAACGTACATCGGGCAAGCAGCCAGCCAGGCAGGCAGGAAAATAAGCAAGCAGACACTACCAACGAGTGAACGAACGGCCAGTCGCGAGCGTCGCTGGCTTTGCTTGAAGCGGCAACGGCAGCAACATCGGCAGCAGCGGCAGCAGCGGCAGCGGCGGCGGCGGCGGCGGCGGCGGCAACAGCAGCGGCAGCAGCAGCGGCAGCAGCGGCAACAGCAATAGCAGCAGCAGGGGAGAGCAAAAGTAGCGGCTATAGCAAATACAGCGGCGGCAGCGGCCGCGGCAGTTTTTAATTCAAGCAGCAGCAGCAGCAGCATTCAACTGAAGCGAACGCATAGGACACGCCGTCGAAGCGCAGTCGAGAAGACGGTTCTAGTTAGTCCGGTGTTGTGTCCGGTCTGCTCACTATTCCAGTCCTACTGCCGCGGCTGCATCTCGTATAGCAGCAGCATTGGATTGCTCGCTGGTTCGCTCACTCGCCTGCTTGGCTGACTGACGACTGTGTGTTAAAGCGGCGCTGCTGCATCGCCATCGCCACGATCATCACATCACTTCTATCACAGCGGTGGCACTACACGCAGGCAGGCAAGCAATACCGGTCGCAGCAGCAATAGCAGTTAATACATACATTCACACAGTCATACAAACACAGCACAGTTGTCGTTAGCTGCGCCGCAGCAGCAGCAGCAGCGTCCTTTGTTGCCGCCGCGAGCACCATCATCATCGGCAGCAACAGCAGCGGCACACAGTCAGTCGGTCGGTCGGTCGGTCGGCCGAGCGAACGAACGAACGAACGAACGAACGAACGAACGAACGAACGAACGAACGAACGCCCGCCCGCCTGCCTGCCGGCCCATAGCAGCAGCAGCAGCAGCAGCAGCAGTAGTTGTACTAGTGTTAGTCGTAGCGGTGGCGGCAGTGGTAGTACGGAGAACGCGGAGCAACGAAAGAAGTTGCGCCAGTCGTCGTTAACTCACCGCAGTGAGTGGCTGTGCCGCTGTGCTGTTGTCTGTCGGTCCGTTTGGGGACGGTGCTGCTGGCAGAGGCTGTCGCGGGTGAGTGCGCTCGCTCCCGGACCGTCGACGACAAAAACAGAGAACTCTGCTACTGCGGATACTGATAACTCTACAGACGCACAATTACCACTACAACTGCTGCTGCTGCGCTGCTACCGCGATCGTGAACAGAACCGTAATGTCGCTCATAAGCACAACTCGCTGCAGTCGCTGTCGTGTTAACTAAAGAAAAACGTGGATGGATCAAGTGGATATTACCAGCCCAGCGAGTTACTCTTCGAACCGGAAAAGAAGGCAAGGGCAACAGAACTTACGTCGATCACTAATCCGTCGTACGTCACCTAGGCACAGGGTGGCGTATCGTAGACCGATATTCCTGTGAAGGCTGCAACAACTACAGCGACGACATCTAATAATATTGACATTGCCATTTCGTCTGTCGGCGAAACACGACGACGACAACAACAAGTGTTGGACATTCATATACATCCCACTCACAAGTAAGATTCAGGAGAAGTTGAATAGGGGATTCGAGGGGCAAAGTACGGATAGAAAGTGAGGGAGAGGGAAAGGGCGTGCAAGCTACGGAGGTGAAGTGGCAAAAGCAACAGTGCGTTCGAATGTATTCAGCGACGATGGATATTTGGGGGTATGCCTATGAAACCAGAGTGGGTTCAAGTAACAGAGGCTGAAGTTGTGGGGGCGTCGCGTGCCTCCGCCAGTGCGTCTGCCGAAAAGCGATCGCCGCCAGTGTGTATAATCTTTTCATTTTCTGCCCCGATCTGACAAACCAGACGGTAAAAAAGTGACAGCTACGAAGCTTCATATATATGTTTATACGTGTATATACCCATATATATATATATACATATATATATATATATATATATATATATATATATATATATATATATACACATATATGTGTGTGTGTCTGTGTGTGGAAGGATTGTGAGGGGCAACAGCAAAATTATTCCGGAGGAAGGGCAAAGTGGAGCGCCGACCCCAACGACAGCAGCAATCAGCAATAATGTCATTAAATGCCTATAGACATATTGTTTCTGAATGATCACTAGCTGACTGTTGGATGTCTGTTTTTCTGTGCGAAATGTAGTGCAGAAGACAAGTGGATAAGGAGCGATACGAATCAGCGGAATAATTTAAAGTTTGGACGCAACACTGAGTCTATTTGTGCATGATGATTTGATCTCAACTGATCTGGCTTGATCGTCGATTTCGTCATTCATCGGTGGTGTACCGCAATAAACGGCTTCGAATAGTAATCGCGTTGCCAAAGTGAACGGTCGGCCAGACGCGTACTCTCGTTCGCTCCGAATCAATTAACGAATGTTTATCAAAAGACGAGAACTACGATGAGGCAATTCTGGTGCTGGTGTAAGAGGAATTACTGCTGTTATCAGTAACGGTTGCGGCCGTGGTAATCAGTCCCTATAGTGAACGAGCGTGTGTTTGGCACTGTCGCTCTCTCTCTCTCTCGCTCTCACTCTCTCTTTCTTGTGAGCGTGTACGTGCGTGCGTGAGTGAGTGCGTGCGTGCGTGCGTGCGTGCGTAAAAGGGCCGGTCCTCCAGGTCTGTGGTGGTTGGCGACTGTTGTATTCAACGGCGAACTGCGCTGTGTGTTTATAAGCTGTGGCGGGGACTAGCAGCAGCGACGGCGGCCGTAGCAGTAAAGAAGGAAGCATCGAGTGTTGTTGTATGAGAAATCGAAATACAAAGAAAGGCACGACGACAGAGTTCATAAGAGGAAGAGACTGCTGCTAGGCCACATATTGCCCGGTGCTGCTGCTGCTGCCGGTAGTAGATAGCGCTGCTTGTTGGTGCCGCGGTCTAAAAGCGGATCATCGCCGGGGTCGGCTGGGAAAGGAGAAGATCTCGTTGCAGCCGCCGCCGTCGCCGCTCGAGACGAAGCGGAGTCATCTGCTGTCCGTGCGTTCGTTTGTCCGTCCGGTCATCATCACCACCCATTCGTCTGCCTGAACCCCAGCCAATTGTGTTATTTGCTGTTTGTTGTTTGTTTGTTTGTTAATAGTTTGGTGGTAGCCAACGAGGAAGGGCGAGAACGTGCGTTACACGTTGTGCGCGCTGTGGCGTGAGCGCGGGTGTGTGTCTCCCCTATATATACGCCTGTATATGTATATACACATATATATGTATATGTGTCTTGTGTGAGTGGCTTGTCTCTGGGAGTCTAATGAATGAAGCTCCAAACGGAGCTCGCTCACCTCCCGTTATTCAACAAAGGGAACTGTCGAATTTGATCGACTGAAGAAACGGCAGCAATCACTCCTGCCGGAGAGAGCAATAACAGCAAAAGCAACGACAGCTGGCAACAATTAAAAACAACCATATAAGGCAAATTAGCAAGCTAAGCATTTGTTGATCAGATCAACAGTTGAATTAACGAGCACAAGTTGACCGGCAGTAGAGTGAAAAAAGCAAGGAATTACCGTTAACGGATACCGTTCAAACCGTCAACAGCGACATTAACAAATAATAGTAGTTAGCGACAACAACGCCGCCGCCGCCGCCGCCGCCGCCGCCGCAGTAGCAGCAGCAGCAGCAGCATCACAACTGCAAACCGCAAGTTCGACGACGGCGACGGCAGCGGGATGCCGCATCAAATCAATCTGTGAACGAATCAAGACAAAACGGAGAGAGGAAAACGGGGAGAGTGAATGGTCGCGTCGGCTTTTGTGGCTGGAGCAAATTATCCACTTCTAATTACGCTATAATCTCTAACGAGATTGCATTATTATTGCTATTACTATTATCATAGTTCGTACCGGTAATCCTGCAAGCACCTGTGTAGCGACGTGTCGCTACGCTCACTCGAATCGAGTTTAACCGTCCGTTACTCAGCGCGCCATAAATCGGCCGTAGGTGCTACCCTATTCTGTGTGACCGGTGCAATTGTTACCGTTTGTTGTGTAACGGCAGACATCGAGTGCGTCAATAGCGTGCGGATTGTTATCACGACTGTAGAAGCGTTCCTTATTTACGGATTATCTTTCTGTTCAGTTTTGCCGCTGCTGTTCACACAGTTTTCGAAATTAAGGTAAGCTTTGTTCAGGTTCACAAACTGTGTACCTTTCATTTTCTGATGATTCCTATTCAGTTGTCGATGCTATTGTCGTCTAATTGTTCGGCCACGATGGGCTGTGGATGCGTCGTTTGCTTCACCGGACGGATTATCAATTGCTGATATACTTATATTCATTTTAGTCAAGCTTCCGTTGCTGTGTTCATCATTTGTTAGAAGGAAAAATGACAAATTTTCTTTGGTTTCACTGAAAGAGCACACCCTTTTCTAGCTGGCCCTTCCAGTTGACAAGATAACCTCCTATTGCTCCCAGTATTCTAGTTAGGGTTTCTTCTTAACCCACATTCAGTAAGACGCTCTGCCTGTGTTTAGCAGCCAAATATGGTGGTAGCGCAGCTTCCAGTCGCCAGATCAGTCGTGATGTTACATCTGATCCTGAATATTAGCATTAGGTTTTGCCTCTTTAAAGCATTATTTTGATAATCTTCGCTAGTACTCTTATGGCAGTGACGACAAATATTCTTATTAATATGGGGTTATAATAAAGCAGCGACTGCGTGTGACTTCGCGTTGTTCGGCGATAGTGCTGCTGATACTTTGATAGAAGCATAGGAGACTAGATAGACGACCAGCTTGTCTAGACCAGACGAACGCCGAAGTACCAGCGGCGCCGCCGTTCGCTCCGTCCGGCCGGCCGGCCGGCCGGCCGCCCGTCCATCGGTCGCTCACTCGGTCTTCGAAAACGGCAACCAGCAGGTAACGGCAGCAGCAGTAACACAATGGCGTTATTGGGCTCCCGCTGCAGTGGCGATTTGGCTGACGGAGTATTGCTGCCGCTCGTGCAGATAGAACCTGACAAACGAATGAACGAACGGCATTTTGCTTTGCGCTTCATTTCTTTGTTGCGTAGCGTTGCTGTTTCATCGCCGCCACCGCCGCCGCCGCCGCCGCCATCCTCTTCCCCGGCCATTGCGCTCCTGCAGCTAGCGTTGCAACCTAATTCTGGAAATTGACTGACTGGCCAACAAACTGAGAGGGGATTAACGAGGACATACCTACCAGTAGTTTATATCTATATATGTGCATATATATATGCGACCACTGTTAGTTTTCTAGCTGCTGCCGGTGGTGTTTCGATTGTCCCAACCCCACGGCAATGATTAAAAAGGGGTTGTTTCTATGGTTGCAGATGCGGCTAGCGCAACTGCAATGGGTAGCGGTAATACAAACAATGACGATTTTTATATCTTCTAGATTTGCCCACATAAAGACATATTATAGTTTTATTTAGTATCCTTATATAATCTATAGGCTAACAAAACGGAAAGAGCTTAGTTGACAGAAACTGAAGTGGACGTGTTGATGCTCGATATCAGAAAATTAATCCAAATCCACCTGCAGGTCGCCAGGTAAGAACAACCAGACGGAGACTAAGGGAAGTAGTTGAAGGAGGCTTATGAGCACGATCATCGAACAGGTGAACAGAAAAAAAACACTCGTTGGTCGAACTATCTAGATAGATATAGATTTCACTGTGCGACATATTCCTGTGATTCTTTACAACTAACTACTCTCAGATGTACCCCGCTGTAAAATTCGTTATTGCGACCATCTAGGTGAACCCAACACATTTAATGTATGCGATAATCATGAGCGAAAATTTGTGTGGAATAAAATGTATGGCGGTCACCGTTCGATTGATGATTACAGAGAGTACTTGGGTCTATTGTATTGAAGTGGCAAGGAATTCGGTTATCGTATAGCTAAAATACGTTACTGGGTTGGAAGCGTGCTTCTATGAACGGCTCGTGCATTGGATGATGCTCAAAGCAGGATAATTAGTTCTGCCTATCTTCTATATGCAAGTGAGGTTATTGCCAATGGATGTCAACCGGATAACTGTTGATGATTAGCAGGATTGTTACATCTGGTTGCTAAATCATCAGAGCTTTACACTTATTGAAAACCGGAAAAACTTTATGGATAGTTAAACGCGTTACTTCTCTTTCGTGCGCATCTTCATCACGTGGTAGCTACGGGTCGTTGGGCAAGGGACGGGCGGCGTTGCAAATGATAAATGCCTTTCCGTAGACCTTTCCTGTGTATATATATACCACGAAAAAAGTTGAACGAAAAGAGTAAAAATTGTTGTCTATCATGTATATGTTGTGTACCATGTCTGTATGCGACTTTGCTGCTATATGTACTTTTGGGGCTTTGGATGGGAATTTTATGATTGTATCGCTTAGAGTAAACGGAGATTTGAGGAAAGTTTTGGGTGATGAGTATTTGCGCAGCATTCGTCATGGGCCAGATCATTCTAAGCGC